AAAGTAAGGGCAATACGGTTTTTTCTAAGGTCAGATGGCGTTTTCTTGGCACTTACGCTATTCGAGTGATGACGTCGATGGCCTCACATGATGGTATTCACATACCTTGAGTGCGCTGGTGATACTGTGCCGACGAGGGATCCACTGACTCTCACCGATAGCATATGCAACACCGCTGTTCCTGAGCGCGAAATAAACCAAGACCATGAAAGCTCCCGCCGCAGCCTGCAGTCAAAGGGTATTGTGGAATGGTGTTACGGCGGATGAAGTAGACCATTTCAAACACCTCGGAACTGTTTTGACAAACGATGATGATATTGGTCCTGAATATCTGATATACCGGTATATCTGTTTGGCATCAGCGAAATGTTTCAAGCTGTATAGTGTATTGAAGAATTAGACAATAAGGACGAGGTGTAAATTATCGTTCTGCATTTGTGGTTCTGATATACAGTGTCGAAAAATCTGCTGTTCTGAACTGTCATGAAGTTGTTTTAGACAATTTCCAACAACGCTATGCGCCAAGTATCATTAGTGTGAGGCAGCATTGGGTCGCGAAGAACTGGTGCTGATGACCACTAAATTGAGAAAACTGTCAGATGAACTCAGAGGCAGGTACCTCACCTTGTTTGATAAAACGACCTTGAAAGAGAATGTAAATATATTCATAAAGTTTCACGCGCAAGAATCGTATACACTCCTCGATCATAAATGCGTTGGAGGACAATGCAAAACCCAGAAACACCTTGTTGATGCAGATCTGCTTGTGAGGAGGAATATGAAGTTTCCCTCATCCGTGTCAGTTCCAACTTCCAGGTATCATAAATCTGGGCTACTTTGTTGTTGAAGTTCTGTTAGCTGGTCACGTCAGTTGCAGTACTTCTGAATTAAGAGCAGGAAGTATCTGCCCCAAATGTGAGCTTCGGTCTTAAGAGGGATATCAAGTTTAAGGAGTCACCGCTGATCTGAGCATTTTGTACATAGTTGGCTTTTACACATACAATGGCTATTTCTATGCTTAGGGACCTCAACAAACTTTTAGATAGATAAAATGAGGGTCACTGATCAATGGTGTATCGATCTGATTGGTTCGTTCACTAGCCTGACATGGGAAGGCCGTACCGTGATTACGGAAATCGATTAGGCACGACGTATTCTTTCCCTTACCGAGTTAATCGATTTTTTTACCGCTCAAGTTATCAACTCCTAAACGCAGACACATGCATCTCTAGACGGCTGCTCATCAGGTTTGGCGGCTATCGACGCGACACCAAGCCGAGAGAGGTTGCTTGACGGATGCGAGGGCTTACGGAATTGTCACGCCCTGTTGAGCCGCCTTCGCCTTACGGGCACTCCTTTTTTGATGGCTGTGTAATTTCCAATTTCTGCGTTGTTCTTGAGAGATTGATTTTGAGGAACTTGCCTGTCGAAAGTCGTCGCTTGGACGGCCGGCAAGTGGCGAGTAATGACAACAACTTGAGTCGTCGTCGTATCGCCCACTCGCTTCCTGTCCTCGCCTGCTGCAAGCCCCGTTCCATTCGCTGACTACCAACTGCTCTTCTGTAGCCATGCGGAGTCGCGTTGAAAGATAGATCAGGTATTGGGGTCTGTCCTGCGGTAATAGCCAATGGCTCATCACCTAGTGTTCAGGTTACTGTATGGCCTGTTCTGCGGAGTTACCATATTCGTGACGTATGGTCGGCAGTCATTGTGCCCGGTGGCCCGTGTAGCCGATTGCTTCAACAACCTGCTGCCGGTCATCACTTCGTCCTACAAGGACAAATGTCACCTCTACTCACAGTTCAGGGCCTGTTTCACACATGACGGCTGCACCGATCGCCAGTCGGCAACGATCGGCAGTCAGGTGATGTTCGAAATGACCGGAGTCCGGCTGCCCAAAGAGTTCCTGATTGCCTTTCTGGGCAACTGGCGACGAGCGTGCGGTGGATGCCTGATTCTGGACAGCCCCTGCAGCGCCGCTATGAAAAACTACGACCTGGAGCATGACTCTGTATTTTTCGACAGGCTGCAGAAAATCGTGCTTGGTCTGCACCAGGGCAATTTGTCGT